GTAACTTTTATTCTCGCTGTAGTTGTTGCTGCTGCCGCCATGTTGTGAAGGCGCTGTGTGTTTCATTGTGAAAGCGAAACTACTTTGTTTCGAGGACAAAGTCCTCGATATCCGACGATATCCGCTTCGTCATGCCTGGAGCTGATCCGTGCTGGTTGCTGAGGGAATACATCAACTTCGCGCTGTGGATCGCTGGACCGGCTTTCACCGCGGACGAAGCGGAGTCCAGCCCGGGGTTGTAACATGTGGTTGCCGCAAGCCCGCCGGATGCTCCTTTGTCTCCTCACTCAAGCCCGCTGTGTATTTAGTTGTGAATGCGAAACTACTTTGTTTGGGCTTCCAAAAGATGACACAACTAGAAATCAGTGGTTAAGTTGTATTTACAACACTGTTCCAGAACAGTTCAACCCAAATATTCAGATGTGTGCAGTACATTTTATGGAGGACTGTTTCCTGATCCTGGTAGAGTAGACTACAATACTGGCTGTTCTGACTCACAGACTGTAAGTAAGTTTTTTATATTTAAAGGATTTGCCAGTGACGATTCAAACGCGAGTTTTGAGCAGTGTAGAGTAGCGCTTGTTGTTCGTCATTTCTCTGAACACAAATGCAGACATGGTTTTATGTTTACGGGGTGCCATGCAATGCGTAAAAAGACAGTACAAGTCATTATAATCCGTAATTATGTCTCCACTGGATGCAACAAATGCATCTTTATAATGGGTTTTAATGTTTTGTCTCGTCGCTCCGGCCGGACAGGGCATCACAATATGGTAGGGGTGTAACATTTCCATCACACGCTTGAGGTATTCGGCCAATCACAACGCACTGGATAGCTGGCCAATCAGAGCACACCTCGCTTTTCAGACCGATGAGCTTTGTAAAAATCTACGCGTTTTAGAAAGGCGGGGCATAGAGGAGAAACAATAATGTACAGTATGTGGACAATAATGTGTTTTTTTAACCTTAAACCACATAAACACATTCATTGCACCAAATACACAAAATAATGTTCTTTTTAGCAACATCATATGACCCCTTTAATAGAATTTGACATTTGACATTTTTTTTAGAATAAAATAAACTTTTGCAGAAATGTATGCATAATAAAAATACACACAATTAAATAAATGTATAACTTGACTGAAAATGATGTACAATAAAAAATATTCTGTTCTCAACTGATATTTACTATGATTTTTTTGATTTCACGATTTTTCATGATTGTTTTCTTCACCATCATGTCTCATATTTCATCTCACGCTGTTCACTGACAAAACTTTATTAGGGGTAAAAATGTTGGTTGTGTCTGAGAATGACATCACAACTATGGGACAGGTTGTATAAATCTTTATATAAATTTGTATTAAAAAAAATGATGTTTTATACCAATGCTTCACAATACAAACTGGTACACGCTTCTTTATTTTACTCGAAGTAATCATAAATTTGTAAAAAAAAATTAAAAGTTTTGTAACAAGTTTTATTCTATTTTTAATATGTTATTTACATTTTATGATTTATTTTTATATTATTAATATTATTTTAGTGTTAAAATTATGGGTTTGTACAGAGCCCCTAAAGTGACATGTTGATGGTAAAAAAAAAAAGAGGAACAATTATATTTCAATGTTTTTGTGTTTTCTCACAAAACGTTTGTATTCCTCCACACACACACAAAATAGTTTCATGAGAGAACGCAAATGTTTTAGGAGAGAATGTAACATTTCTCAGGGGAACACAATAGTTTGTGAGAAAATGCATTTGTTCTCTCAATTTATTTTTTTTCTCATCGCATGTCCTCTTAGGGGCTAAATAGGGTTTGGGACCAGGATAAAACTATAAATACGATTTTAGAAAAATAGACAAAATAAATAATAAAGGCAAGGTTCCAAGACAGTTTTAATGCAATGTATACACTTTATAACAAGTTTTTTATTTTATTTATTCATTTATTTATTTTTTACAAAAAAAAAAAGGAAATCAACCCCTTGGACATAATGATGCCTGTAATCGATCAAAACACCCAGGTCCCAGCCTATTATAAACAACATAGCATCAAATGTACGTACGTGCTGACAGCCATGGCTCTCACAGACACTTTCCCCACGGGTAAGCGAATAGCTTCAGTGTACTTCAGAGTGCGGTCACCAAAACCCGGCCTCTGAGAAGAAAGAGTAAAAAGTAAAGGTAAGAGAAAAGAAGTAAGAATCAGAGTAGGCATAAAGGAATGTGTGTGTGTGTGTGTGTGTGTGTGTGTGTGTGTGTGTATAAACACAGTCTCTGGAAAAGAACATTTAGTACTGTTAATGACTAATTCTGAGAAACATTATTACTCAGGCAGCAGTTGAAATATGTCCAATACCAAAACACCAGAAGAGAAGATATAACTTTCAAACATATATAAAATGTGCATAACATACATATTTTTGGAGAATACTACAAATATTACAAACATAAGTAAAACTAAATAAAACACAAACATAAATGAGTAACAGTACTGAGTAAATACTTGAATATGAATATATGATGAGGATTAACATAAGAAGCATAAATCAACTAATAATAAATCAAATGGATATGAAAAAAAATAATATATATATATATATAACAATATTGATTATTTGGATACATCCTTTTTTTTTAGGTCAAATGGGTTCAGCAAAAAAAACACATATGAACACATTTATGAAGATTGAGAGATTTATGAATATCTGGATGTGTTGAATTCACAATACTCGATGTTCATATGCCAAAGTGTAATTATTCTCGTCCTCCAGCACAGTAGGTGGCGCTGTGAGTTTTGTCCCTCATTGTGCTAGTCCGTGTTGCCATGTCCGCTTTTTATAAGTGATTTTGGGCTTGATTTGGTTATAAACGTTAGAAATCGCGGATGTGAGTTTTTGGAGTTGTTTTTAAATTTATTAAAAAGCAAATGTGCATATATCCTCTTATTCAACAGAGGGAGGTGGCAGATTGTGGACTTGTGTTTAATCCGATTGCTTCTTGATTTTGGGCAATCTGGCAACCCAGCCTGTAAACTCTCCCCGCCCATCAAACGACCATGAGTGCAGACTGAAATTCGACACACTTAAACTTTAAATTTATCTTTGAATGTATCATTTATATTATTGACATTTGACCTTCTCAGCAAGTAATTCCATCCTGATGAACAATGACAGAAGTTAAAGTCAAAAAAGAGTCCACGGACCCGGTAGATATCGAGAATAGGTGAGTTGAGCGCGTCCGCATGCTTGGCCTGTTAACAACATATTCAGCGTGTGGAGGAATTTAGAATCAATTATAGTTACTACCAAAGCTACTCTGCCATTTCTGTGTACTGCAAGTATTTATAAACCGACGTTTATTTTTTAATAGCGTATGAGTTTATACAGCTACTTAATTATTATGTATATAGCTATTATTCTGCCCAGAGCATATTTCGTATTTTCTTTTCTTTCTCTGTTGGACTGACTGACAAAGACAGGAAGATTTGCATCGCTGTTTCACCATAATGTAAAGCAGAGGAATTGATTTGACCACTGACGTGCTGCTGCAGAGAATGTTGGGAGATTTAGCTGAGTTTGGTAAAGCCACTTCTTTCCCTCTGTTGAAGGATAAAAGAGTTGTGTCTGCAGTTTCCACATGGGATCACAGACCAGGTCATCCAGAATGACATGCCTCACGTTGAGGTGCAGCAGCGGGCCATGGCCATCAACAGACTGCTGTCTGTGGTGAGATGCTCAGCTCCAGCTGACTGCATGAAACATGCCCATGCTTTTATACTCCTGTCTGACTCTTTATTTGTGTTCTCAGGGTCAATTAGACTTGCTCAAAAACAGCAATGGCCTTTTATACAGGCTTAAGGATGCTCAGTCTGCCAGGTTTGTCTCTTTAAATGCAAGAATATGCACAAATTAATATGAACTACAATATCAAATAATTTAATTTGCACACAAATTAGTGAATTTAGTCAAAAGAAATGCATGCTTTTACTTTAATATTGCATTAATTTGTTTAATTTGAATTCATTTAATCTTAAATGGAATCAAATTAAACAAATAAATGCAATATTGCATGTGTTTATATCTTTTTACCAATTCACTAAATGTGCACGCACAAATTTAGTGAATTAGTATTAACATTTTAAAAATACATTTTCAGTTTGATTTGAATTAATATTACTTCGCTAAACTAATGTGCAATTATACATGTGGTGAATTAATATTAATTAAATTAAGTTTATAAAAATATATACATATATATATAAAATAAAAAAAATATATATATATAATATAAAACATATATACAATTCTTTGAATCTGAATTTGAATTAATAATTTTACTGAATTTGTGTTCACACCACATATCAAATTTAGTGAATTAGTATTAATTCAAATACAATAATTCTAAATAATATTAATTAAAATGATATACTGTTTCTTTTTTGACAGTAAAGTAAAAGGCTCTGATAACCAAGAAAAGCTAGTTTACCAGATCATAGAAGATGCTGGAAATAAAGGTGCAATGCATTTTATCATTTGCATATTGTCGTTTTATTTTTTCGATAAATCACAATTAATATTGCGCAAGAAAGCTTATTTCAGTAGCTTTTTCTGATTTCTAAAGGAATTTGGACCAGAGACATCAGATACAAGAGTAACCTTCCACTCACAGAAATCAATAAAATCCTCAAGAATCTTGAGAGTAAGAAACTCATCAAAGCGGTGAAGTCTGTTGCGGTGAGTTGATCTCGGAACCTTATTTAAACATTTAAAATGTTTTATTAGCTTCAGACCTACAATGTCTTTCCCATCCAGGCCTCTAAGAAGAAGGTCTACATGTTGTACAACTTGCAGCCGGACCGATCTGTGACAGGAGGCGCCTGGTATAGTGATCAGGATTTTGAGTCTGAGTTTGTTGAGGTTCTCAACCAACAGTGCTTTAAGTTCCTGCAAAGTAAGGTGAGATTGTAATATTTCTTATTCCTGTTTGTGATCTTTGAAATTTAAGGCTTTGAATGTAAAAGAAGTGTGTGTATTTTCAGGCTGAAGCAGCGAGAGACAGTAAGCAAAGCCCCATGGTGCAAAGAAACAGCTCATTTGCCACCTCTCATGAAGTGTGGAAGTACATCTGTGAGCTCGGCATCAGCAAAGTGAGTGTGAACAATATCTTCAAGGAATAGGAATAGCCAAAAATGTAAAATATGCTGAACGTTTACTCGCCCTCAAGCCATCCAAGATGTAGATGAGTTTGGAGAAAAATAGCATTCATCACTTGCTCACCAATAGATCCTCTGCAGTGAATGGGTGCCGTCAGAATGAGAGTCAAAGTCAAGTCAAAGTGATTGTCAAAGTGCTGTACACACATAATAGAATAAAAATGTCAGTTATTACAAACAGTCAACAACACAAAAAAAGACAATAAGACACCATAAAAACAATAGAAGAAAGCAGCTCTCATGTGGCGTCAAATGCCAGACTATAAAAATTAGTTTTTAAGATAGATTTAAAGACAGCAAGTGTTTGAGCCTGTCTAATGTAGAGGGGCAAAATATTCCAAAGCTTCGGGAACGCCACTGCAAATGCTCGGTCACCCCTGCTCTTCAACTTTACCCGTGGGATAACTAAGAGCAAATGGTCAGCAGACCTAAGTGCTCTTAGCGGAGCATACAGCTTAATCAAGTCAGACAGATATTTAGGTGCTAAACCATTAAGAGATTTAAAAACAAATACCAAAATCTTAAACTGAATCCTAAAATGGACAGGTAACCATTGAAGAGAGGCAAGAACGGGGGTGATGTGTTCCTGCTTTCGTGTACCCGTCAGCAGTTGAGCTGCCGCATTCTGGACCATCTGCAGTCTAGAGAGAGAGGCCTGACTAATACCTATATAGAGGCCATTACAATAATCCAGACGAGTTGAAATAAAAATATGGACGATTCTTTGAAAGTCTTTAGAAGACAGGAAAGATTTCACCTTGGTGAGTTGTCTCAATTGGAAAAAGCAGGATTTAACTACCGAGTTAATCTGTTTGTCCAATTTAAAATCACAGTCTATGATAACACCAAAATTTTTTACGTGGGGCTTCACAAATGGTTTCAATTCACCAAGGTCTAAATCTGATAACTCACAAGTACCTCCTGGCGTAAACAGTATAACTTCTGTTTTATTTTCATTAAAATTAAGGAAATTTAGTGCCATCCAGGCTTTAATTTCCTCAAGACACTGTAATAGGGGTGCTAAAGAGCAAGTATCTCTTCATTTCAAAGGTAGATACATTTGCGTATCGTCTGCATAACAATGAAAAGTAATACCAAATTTCCTAAAAATATGTCCTAAGGGGAGCATATACAGGGAGAACAAAATAGGCCCCAAAATGGAGCCCTGGGGGACCCCACACGTGAAAGAAGCAGTTGAGGAGACAAAGTCTCCAAAGCGAATGGAGAAAGTTATTTCGGACAAATAGGATCTAAACCATCCCAACGCAGTACCCTTAATACCAACACATTGTTCTAAGCGTGTAATCAAGATCTTATGGTCTACAGTATCAAATGCAGCCGAAAGGTCTAGTAGAATTCCTAGAGTCCAAACAGCTGATAAAAACATCACAATAATCCACTGAATTGAATGAACATAATAGGTATAATAAGTTATGATATTCCTGTTTGCAGGTGGATTTGTCCATGGAGGACATTGAGACCATTCTAAACACGCTGATCTTTGATGGCAAGGTGGAGATGACCATAATCGCTGCTAAAGAGGGAACAGTGGGGAGTGTAGATGGACAGATGAAGCTCTACAGGGGTGTGAATCCCATAATTCAACCCACTGGCCTGGTCAAAACACCATGTGGACTGTGCCCGGTAACCTTTTAGTACATTAAAATCACAAATAGGGTTGCATGATATATATCGAATTGAAATCGATATAGTGATATTTCTTAGGGTGGTTGTCAACCCGAGCAGGTTATGGATAGAGGACTTGAAAGCAACAGTTTAAAGTAAAAAACAAAGACATCTTAATGATGATTTTGTTTCTTACAAACTCATAGATTTTTGATGTACACAACATTAATTTATGTACTGGAGTCGTGTGGATCACTTGTGGATTATTGTGATGTTTTTATCAGCTGTTTGGACTCTAGGTCTGACGGCACCCATTCACTGCAGAGGATCCACTGCTGAGCAAGTGATGTAGTGCAAAATTTCTCCAAAACTGTTCCGGTGAACAAATTCATCTACATCTTGGATGGCCTGAAAGTCAGTAAATTTTCATTTTGGGTGAACTATGCCTTTAATGTGCCAAGTTAACAACAGTAACTCTCTACTTTATAGGTTTTTGATGACTGTCATGAAGGGGGCGAGATCTCTCCGTCTAGCTGTGTTTACATGGCTGAGTGGCTGGATTTCTGAAAAGCCAACCGGGTGTCTTTTGTTTTTCTCTGTGGAGAAAGCATTTTTCATGCAGCGGTTTGATGCAACTGAAGATATCTTTTTATTTATGTTTTGAACATTAATGGCTTTAATGACTCGAGCAGAACTACATTAAGTGAATAAGAAGCAGCTTCCATCTGGTCGTCAGTGAAATTTAGGCTGATTTTCTTTTTCTTTTGTTTGTTATTGCTTCTCTTCACCCACAGATATGACTTTTGTTTTTATCAGCTGTTTGGACTCTCATTCTGACGGCACCCATTCACTGCAGAGGATCCACTGCTGAGCAAGTGATGTAGTGCAAAATTTCTCCAAAACTGTTCCGGTGAACAAATTCATCTACATCTTGGATGGCCTGAAAGTCAGTAAATTTTCATTTTGGGTGAACTATGCCTTTAATGTGCCAAGATAACAACAGTAACTCTCTACTTTATAGGTTTTTGATGACTGTCATGAAGGGGGCGAGATCTCTCCGTCTAGCTGTGTTTACATGGCTGAGTGGCTGGATTTCTGAAAAGCCAACTGGGTGTCTTTTGTTTTTCTCTGTGGAGAAAGCATTTTTCATGCAGCGGTTTGATGCAACTGAAGATATCTTTTTATTTATGTTTTGAACATTAATGGCTTTAATGACTCGAGCAGAACTACATTAAGTGAATAAGAAGCAGCTTCCATCTGGTCGTCAGTGAAATTTAGGCTGATTTTCTTTTTCTTTTGTTTGTTATTGCTTCTCTTCACCCACAGATATGACTTTAAAGATATACCTCAACCATATCAATAAATAAAGGTTTTCATATTTGTTGATAGGTAGTCTGCATATTGTACCATGTGTTTGAGCACTTCTATAATTTTTACACACTGCATCCACATTTTAGCAGATTGTTAATGACACTTTTTTTTTTTTATAAGAACGATAAAGCAGCACAGACTATTTAGGTAAATAGACTGACTTTGTGTCTGAGGTCATAGTTTGTATATTAAAAATTGTTATAATTTATAATATAATAGCATAATTTCACATTTTAAGCAAAAAGCTAACATTTGTCTGCCATTGTGATTTCTGTGTAAAAGCATTGTGGGCTACATGATTCTTCAGATTTTGTTCTTAAACATTTTTCAAAAAAAATCCATAAGATTTAGATATACAATGTAAATTGCTTTTTTTTCACTTTTTTTCATTCTTGAGTATTTTACATGCCTATTAGAGAGGGAAAGTCATCGGTACGCTTCACATGTTGGATACAACCTGGTTGCCATGACGACTTGAACATCATTGATAAAATATTTCAATATTTGCATATGAAAGATTCTCAGTACCCTCAACGGGACATCTTTGCACCTTATTTACTCCTAAATTGTTCATAGTAGTAGCTTGAGGATACATTTTTCTACTCTAATGTAGAAATATGCACCCTTTAGGGGTAGATGAGGTACAAAGTTGTCCTTTTAAGGTTAGTACACCAGTGACAAGCCTCTAAATGTGCAATTTCTGCAAATTTTTTCCTGACAGTGTTTGCATCCTTCAGGAGTTGTTAAGGTACAAAGGTATACCTTTAAGGGTCCTACTCCAGTGACAAGATGTTGGACCTTTAAGGTACCATTTGTACACAGTATTTCTGATGCAACATTGTGTTTATCCATGTGTAACCCTTCGGCTCTCCTTGGCTCCACTGCAGGACACCCTCGGTGGGCGGTTTGATGCATCCCAGGCTCTTGTTGGGGAGCTTTCATTGTTTAACCTGTGGGACAAAGTGTTGTCACCAACAGAGGTTGCTGCTCTGGCGGCATGTGCAGAATCGCCACACTTGGGAAACATAGTCCCCTGGACGGACCGAGATGTGGACGTGTTTGGAGGGGCCGTCAAGGACCCCGTGGACCCCTGCCTTCAGAGTTCCCATCCCCGGCAGTGAGCAGGGCCATGGGTTGATACCTTTCTTTTTTAAGGTGAGGGTAAATGAGACAAAAATGGCCTGAAAGGTATGACAACTGTGTCGTGGGTCCCGGTCTGTCATAGAATATATTTACCATAGAGCTACACTCTCACTGAGTTTTTGT